GAACGGGAGAAGATATTTGCAAATGACATAAAGGATTAGTATCCATACTCTATAAGGAATTTACCAAACTCAACACCTGAAAAACAAATAATCCAGGGTAAGAATGGGCAGAAGACATGAATAGACACTTTTCCAAAGAAGACATCCAGATGGCCAACAGGCACATGAAAGGATGTTCAAGGTCGCTCATCATCAGGGAAATACAAATCAAAACCACATTGAGATACCACCTCACAGCAGTCAGAGTCGATAAAATTAACAACACAGGAAACAACAGATGTTGGTGAGGATGTGCAGAAATGGGAACTCTCTTGCACTGTCGGTGGGAATGCAGGGTTGGTGCAGCTGCTCTGGAAAACAGTGTGGAGGTTGGTTCCTCAAAAAATTAAAATAGAATTACCCTACAACCCAGGAATTGCACTACTAGGCATTTACCCAAGGGATACAGGAGTGCTGATTCATAGTGGCACATGTACCCCAACGTGTATAGCAGCACTATCAACAATTGCCATATTATGGAAAGAGCCCAAATGTCCACCAACCGATGAATGGGTAAAGATGATATGGTTTATATATACGATGGCTATTACTTGGCAGTGAGAAAGAATGAAATCATGCCATTTGCAACAACATGGATGGAATTGGAGGGTAGTATGTGAAGTGAAATAAGGCAGTCAGAGAAAAACAGATATCATGTTTTCACTCATATGTGGATTTTGAGAAACGTAACAGAAAAACATGGGGGAACAGAAGAGGGAAAAATCTTTTCAGACAGGGAGGCAAACCATGAGAAACTTTTAAATGCAGAGAACAAACTGAAGGTTCATGGAGGGGTGGGGGAAAGGGGAGAATGGGTGATGGGCATTGAGGAGGGCACTTGTTGGGATGAACACTGGGTGTTGTATGTAAGTAATGAATCATGGGAATATACTCCCAAAGCCAAGAGCACAATATATACACTGTATGTTAGCTAACTTGACAATAAATTATATTTAATTAATTAATTAATTAAACTATAGCCATGTGTGTGTGTGGGTGGGGGGGGGTGGTGGTGGAATCTAACAATACACTAAGGGATAATTTGTTATGACCAAATGGTGTTTATCCAAGAAATGCAGAGTTGGTTTAAGATTCGAAAACTAATTAGTGTTATTCACCATATTAACGAACTTTTAAAAAAGGAAAATTATATGATCATCTCCGTAGGTAAAATAAGTCCCTTGTCAAAATTCAACATCCCATTCCAGATAAAAACTTTCAGCAATCCTGGAATACAAGGGAACTTCAATATGACTTAAAACAAAACAAAACAAAACAAAACAAAACAAAACAAGTCATGATAACTCTACAGCTAACGTTACAGGTAATGGTAAAAAACTGAATGCATTTCCTAGAAGATCAGGAAGAAGACAAGTAGGCCATTCACTGAATGACTTCTTCTCTTCAGCACTATACTAGCAGTTCTAGCCAACGCAATCAAACAAGAAAAAGCAACAAAGGACATCCAAATAGAAAATGAAGTGAAACTGTCTCTATACAATGACATGGTTACAAAATAGAAGTTGGCAAACTCCCACCTGTGGGCCACGTTACTTGTTTTGGTAAATTAAATTTTATCAAAATACAACCATGTCCATTAATGTATGCAGTATCTATTGACTGCCCTTATAGTACAATGACAAAGCTGTTTAGTTGCGACAGAGAATGTATTGGCTACAAGTCTACAATATTTACCATTGTTAGTAAAATAGTAATTAAAAATGAATTTTAATGAACTTTGCTTATGTAGAAAATCTGATAGAATTAAGAAAAATGCTACTAGAATTAATGAATTTATAGCGGCACATGGATGACTCAGTCTGTTGAGTGTCTCTTGATTTCAGCTCAGGCCATGATCCCAGAGTCATGGGATGGAGCCCTAAGTCAGGCTCGCACTGAGCATGGAGACTGCTTAAGATTCTCCCTGTCTCTCTCTCTCTCTCTCTCTGCCCCTCTCCCCTGCTCATGTACTCTCTCTAAAATTAAATATATGTAGGGGCGCCTGGGTGGCTCAGTCGGTTAAGCAGCCGACTTCACCTCAGGTCACGATCTCGCAGTCCGAGAGTTCGAGCCCCGCATCGGGCTCTGGGCTGATGGCTCAGAGCCTGCAGCCTGTTTCCGATTCTGTGTCTCCCTCTCTCTCTGCCCCTCCCCTGTTCATGCCCTGTCTCTCTCTGTCTCAAAAATAAATAAAACGTTAAAAAAATTTAAATATATGTATACATATAAATTTATCAAGGTTGGAAGATACAGAATCATTACACAAAAATCAACTGTATTTCTATATACTAGCTATAAAGAATCAAAAATTAAAATTTCAGGGCACCTGGGTGCCTCAGTTTGTTAAGCGCTGGGCTCTGGCTCAGGTCATGATTTCAACGTTGGTGAGTTCAAGCCCCATGTCGGCTCTGTACTGACAGCTTGGAGCCTGGAGCCTGCTTCAGATTCTGTCTCCCTCTCTCTCTGTCCCTCCCCAACTCATGCTCTGTCTCTCTCTCAAGGGTAAACATTACAAAAAAAATTTTAAATTTAAGATATATTATTTACAACTGCACTGAAAATAAAAAATAATCGCAGTTAATATCATAAAAGACAGAAAGACCTATACATTAAAAACTACAAAATATTACTGAGAAAAATTTAAAAGACCTATATCAAGGGAGAGATATATCCTCTGTTCAGGGGTTAAAAAATTCAATATTGTCAAGAAGTCAGTTCTCCCCAAATAAATCTGTAGATTCAACATAATCTAAACTTCGTTTCCAGAAGACTACCAGAGTTGGGGTTTTGTTTGTTTGTTTTAAGAAACTGACAAACTGATTCTAAAATTCACGTGGAAATGCAAAGGATCCAGTGTAGCAAAAGAACACTGCAAAGAACCAAGCAGGACGACAAACACTACGTGATTTCAAAAATTCTTATAAACTGGCAGTGATTAAAACAGCAAAATATTGGTACAAAGATGGCCAAAGAGATCAATGAGACAGAATAGAGCCCATAAATAAGCCCACACATATATGGCCAACTGATTATGACAAAGGAGCAATGGCATAAAGTGGAGAAAACACAGCCTTTTCAATAAATGGCGCTGGAATAACTGGATATCCATATGCAAAAGAATGAACTTGTATCCATACTTTATATCATTAAAAAAAAGAATATAAAATGGGTCATAGATCTAAATGTGAGACCTAAAGCTATAACACTGATAAAAGAAAGCATGAGAGAAAAACTTTGTGACCTTGTGCTAGGCAAAGATTTCTTAGATATGAAAACCAAAAGCAACAATCATACAAGAACAAATGAATGTGTAAACTGGACTTCACCAAAAAGAAAAACTGCTCTTCAAAAACACTGTTGAGAGAAGGAAAAGTCACAGACTGGGAGAAGGAAAGCCTTGCAAAAAAAAAAAGAGAGGTGATAAAGGAACTGTATCCAGCTCTTTCCACCATCTTTCTGCACCACCATCATGATGCATGTGAATGTCGTGGCAGATGCTCCCAAAGGATAACAATACTGAAAAGAGAAGCAAACGCCAGGTTCTTACTAGGCCGTGCTCCAAAGACATTGTCCACTTTCTAACTGTGATGATGAAGCATGGTTACACTGGTGAATTTAAAATCATTGATGATCACAGAGTTGGGAAAATTGTTGTGAACCTCACAGGCAGGTTAAGCAAGCATGGAGTTACTGGCCCCAGAACTGATGGACAATGCAAAGATCTAGAAAAATGGCAGAATAATATGCTCAGTTTGGTTTCATTATAGTGACCACCTCAGCTACAGTGATGGACCATGAAGAAGCAAGATGAAAACACACAGAAGGGGAAATCCTGGGATTCTTTTTCTAGGGATGTAATACGTATGTGCAAATAAAATGCCTCAATGGAAAACAAAAACAAAAACAACCACAAAAAGACAAAAAGAAAACAAAATAAGAAGGAACTGTGTCTAGAATATACAAAGAATTCTGAAAACTCAACAAGTAAGAAAACAAACAAATTTTTAAAATAAAAAAAAAAGATTTGGACAATTCAAAGAAGATATACACATGGCAAGCAAGCATGTGAAAATATGGTCAACATCGTCAGTTATTAGCAAAATGTATATTCAAACCATAATGATATATAAAATATCCATCCGAATGGCTAGGACTTAAAAAGCTGACAATACTAAGTGTTCATGAATATGTATGTAGGAATTGGTGCTCTCACAGACTGCTGGTGGGAATGGAAAACAGTATAACTCCTTTAGAAAACGATCTGGCAGCTTCATAATAAGGGAATAGAAAGGGACATGAGATTTTTCAGGGTGATGAATATGTTAACTGTCTGGATTGCGGTTATCGTTTCATACGTGTAAACATATGTCAAAACTATCAAATGACACACTTCATATATGTGCAGTTTACCTAACCAAAGCTGTTGGAAACGACAAGCTCTTTCACAGGAAGAAACGTCTAAAACAGTGGATAAGACACAGACGGAAAGAAGGATGTCAAACAATACAAGATGAAGCCAGAGGACCGTGGCCTTTAACCTAATAGCAATGAGAAGTAACAGCTAAGCTTTAAACAAGGAGGTAACATGATGAAATACACATTTTTTTAAGTATATAATAATTATGGTTGCAGTGCAGACCAAGGTCCTGGGAGGTTGAACGGCAGGGAAAACGGTCCTGAGGTTATTTCAGTCATCTAGGGGAAAAATAATGACCTGACCTGGGTGAAGGCACAGAAGAGAAGCAGAGTTAACAAACATGTTAGATGTGCCATTCCCACTAAGAAAGGTACAGTAGAAATGATGACTCTTTGGCTGAGAGGATATAATAGTTCTCCTTTGATTTTAATATAAAACATATTTCTGAGATGAGCAGCTCTACAATACAGCAGTGTTCTATGGTGCAGTACTAGGCAAGGTGTGCACATATGACTACAGCAATATACGTAAAAAGGCTTCCTACCTTTACAATCCATGCCAAGTTGTTCAATCAGCAACATGAAATTCTTATAATAAGGCAACTCACAATCCTCTGAGGCTGTTTCAGATTCAGATGACTGAATGAAGTCGACAAGGTCATCCATAGAAGTAATTTCCTTTTTGACCTACAAATAAAGAATACCATTTCAAAATGTCCCCCAAATATTTATAAAATATACAAGGTGTAGAGAAGTGATAAATACCCATCTTTTTATAAAAGCAAAAACAGGGGCACCTGAGTGGCTCAGTCAGTTGAGCATCTGACTCCATTGTGGCTCAGGTCATGACCTCAGGGTTCCTGAGTTTGAGTCCCATGTTGACCTCCACAATGTCAGCATGGAGCCTGCTTGGGATTCTCTCTCCCCCTCTCCCCCTGCCCCTCCCCCACTTGTGCGTGCTCTCTCTCAAAATACATTTTAAAAATAAGTGAATAAACATTTAAAAGCGAAAGCACAGAGACTTTTTAAAAGAAGGGATTTTTATCAAAAAGACACCGTTATCAATAGCTAGTATTTCTAAGTAACTTTTTCACAGCAAATGTCTCTACAACAAAGGAAGATTTTCTATTTTTTCACTACATCTTTCATAAAGTATTTTTTACCACTGAACAATATCTTTAATAAATATTTATCAAATAATATAATAAAATAAAAAAAAATAAATAAATAAAATAAAATTACATTGTCTATTTCTCTTACCTTGTTCTTCTTCTTAGAAATTTTCTTTGCAGGCCTGAAAAAACCCAACAATTCTTTTCAGGCAAATATTAAATACTTAAAATACAAAGAATATTTAACCCAATTGTTTCTGATATAAAATCTCTGCACTTGAAACTAATTTTCTACAAAGGGGATTAAACAGTAGAGTAACATTAAACAGCATAGAGAATATACTATTACTAATATTAACGAAGGATTAGACGTATCCAGTTGTAATATATGTGCTGCTGAAGTGAGAACAACAAAGTACTAAATTTAGATAAAAACTAACAAAAGCAAAGGAAAATCCTAATGTGACTTGCATTATTTGATAGGCATGATACCATTGTTTTTGTTGTCATTTTTACTAAAAATAAGCTTTTCCTAGCACTAAAACCTACTTGGAAAGTGCAAGTAAAGTCCCTATATGAAAGGACCCCTTTTGAACAATCGTGATATTAACGTGTTGAAGACTCACTGTACAACTACTCTCTAGGCATTACTATGAGCACTTTACATGTATTCAAGGTATTTGAAGCCCCACAACAATCTTATGAAGTAGGTTATTATAGTAGGTATTTTACACAGGAAGAAAAGGAGGCACAGAAAGTTAAAGTGACTTGCCCAAGAAGCCCTAATCACTGGTCAAGAACAGACCCTGAATTCAAACCCAGGAATGTGCCTTCAAAGCATGTGTTTCATAACATGTGGTTAAAGTAATACTTAAGTGTTTCTAACTAGTATAATAGCAAATGAATCTACATTATTGTTCTATTTCTAGCCATAGCTGTACATAACAATTTCTGAACCTTACACATTCTTTTAAGAGACTTTATACCTAGGCAATATTGGAAATCTACTTTCAATAAACTACTGATTTGCTTCTTCTAGAGAAGTTCATCAACAGGCGTTCATTCGTTCATTCAACTGTTTATTCCCACATTCAACACATACTTATTGAACATATAATCTGTGTCAATGACACTGCTGGTACAGGAAGCATGGTTTTTGTAATTTAGAGCTTTCCAGTCCAAAAGGAATAATCTGTGATGGGTTACTAGTTTATTTTCCAATTGTAAATAAACAAAATCTTCCCCATTCCCCAGGATGTAAATAAATATTAACTTGATATAACCAGATACTTTCAAGTCCCTAACAAAATCATAGCGATTCGTGACGCTATCAAAGGCACTGAATATCTAAAATCATCAAGGAAGGATTAGTTCTATTCAGAATGGCCTCAGTGTTTGCATACATTTATTATAAGTGTGAGTGTATATATATACACACACATATATTACATATAGAATTTGTACAGAGGTATATATATATATATGCTTGCATACATACATATATTTATTTTTAAATCTGCACATTCAATTATAAGAGAATACTCCGTTGCGGAACCAATTCTGAATACACCAACTTCTTCCACAAAATTACATGAATAGGAGTACTAAAGACAATTACTATAACCTTTAAAAGATACTGTAATACACTCAACAAACTTCCTAATGGTTGCAAACACAAACAAAATTAAATTAACTAACCATGTCTATCTCTATTGATCATTTCCAACAGCATACATACTCTAAAAGCTCCCATCTTAAAATAAAAAGAGGAGGAAAATGCCTTTGCAACTCACATTCTTTTTCAGTTATCATCCATTTCTCTATTACCTTTCCCAATTAAAATGCTCTAGGGAGTTGTTTACACTTACTCATCTTCCATGCTTCCATGGTGACTACTGAAACTGCTCCTTGACAAAGTCACTTACCCTCATCATAACGTTTCAAGCAGTGTGTTTGATATGTTGAGTATTTCTTGCTTTAGCTTGGACCTACGTACACTACAGCATCTTATTTCCACAAAAGCTAATCACTGCTAAAGTGCCTTCACAGGCACATAAAGAATTTATAGATTTTACCTGCTTTCATGCTGATCCTTTTCACTGAAATGGCTGCCATCATTCTCTTGTAGTGGACCACCAGTTAGGGAATCGGCCATCTTCAACACTGGTGTGATCACAGATCCTTTTGATGTCCCTTTTTCATTTTCACCTTTCTTTAACTTCTTCATATGTAAACCAGGTTCACTCCTTAAAGAAAAAGCCATAAAACAGCCAATGTTTTCTAATAATTTTACTGATAAAGAATAAAAAGACAATTTTCATCAAGTTCTGAATTTTACCCATCTGACTTAATTTATTAATTCAGAGAACAGTGCTGAAATACCAACCATATACAAGGAAATACTCATCTGTTGCTTCAAACACAGACAAATATACAACTATAATACAATGTGATTTGTAAGAATTGACATGTGAAAAGCTGTAAGTGAGGACAAGAAAGGCTTTATTGAAGAGGGAAAATAAACAGGAGAGGTCACCAGGAAAAGAAACGGGAGAAAACCATTTTCTTAGAGATTAGAATGTAAGCACAAAGATTACATAGATGGCATCTAGGTGCCTTGAAAGGAAAAGTATACTTTTAGGAACTTGGGAAAAAAACCATAAGATACACGGAACCAAGTAGTAAGAGTCAGGAAAGAAATTCTGACTCAGACATGGGAGTAATAACTAGATTTGTGCTATATTTTCGGCTTTTCTTTTAAATATAAAAATGCTTCATTTCAACAAAGTTTTAAAATAGCATGAGGTCCATATAACGTGAAAGAAGAAGTCAGGGAAATATCTTAGGGGCAAAACTACTTTTAAAATACCCATATGTCAGAGCGATATCAGTATCACAGCTGGGTAAGATGTACCTTATTGCGTCTCCCCACCTACAACAAACTGGCATCTTGTCCACCCAAGGGCAAAACTACCTTTGCGGGAGCTGTGGGAATCTAGCACCATATTCCGAGGGACCGAGGAAAAGTCTTGCCTACCCGTGCATCAGGTAACAGGCATACATACTACAGTCTAATCTGTGGACCTAGCAATAGCCCATAAAGTGCCTCCAGTCCCTCCCTCTCAGCCACATCTGGGAGTCCCTCCCTAGAAAACACTGTCTAGGATAATCACCCGCAGATGAGAGAGCCTTTTTGGAAAACCAGGTGTCCTGCAGAGAATTTGCAGCATACCACTGGAGCAAAAAAATCAGGGTTGGACACACTGAAGAGGTAGTCATTAAAGACTGGAGGAAGTGACTGCTACTTCAAATGCAGAGACAGCAATGCAAAACTGCAAAGAATATAAAATATCAAGGAAATATGATACCATCAAAGGATCACAATAATCTTCCAGTAATCAATTGGAAACACATGGAGATCTGTAATTTATTCAAAAGAGAATTCAAAAACAGCAGTTTTAAGGAAACTCAGTGAGTTATAAGAAAAACACAAAAAGCCAACTCATTAAAATCAGAAAAACACTCTATGAATAAAATGAGAAGCTTAACAAAGAGCTGGAAATAGTAAAAACTGACTAAACAAAAATCCTGGAGCTGAAGTGTATAATGAAGGAGATGAAAAAAGCAAGAGTGATCACTGACAGGAAATGGATTAAGCAAAAAATAAAAATGTGAATTTAAAGACAGGAACTATCAAATTATCCAGTCAGCAGACAACAAAGTAAAAACAAAGAAAAAGAGTGAGGAAAGACTATGTGACTACAAGTGAACCCTCATAAGGCTATTAGCAATTTCTCAGCAGAAACCTTACATACCAGGAGGCAGTGGGATTATACATATTCAAAGTGCTAAGAGAAAAAAGACTACCAATCAAGAATGCTTTACTCAGCAAAATTACCCTTCGGAAATCAAGTCAAATAAATACATTTGATACACCGCATTAACAGGATAAAAAAATCATATGATCATCCCAGCATGTGAGGAAAAAGCATTTGACAAAATTCAACATCTTTTCAGGATTAAAAACTTTCAATAAAGTGGGTACTGAATTATCACACCTGGACATAGTGAAGTCCAATATGATAAGCGCATGGTCAACATCATATGCAGTGATAAAAAACTGAAAGCTTTTACTCTAAGTTCAAGAACAAGGCAAAGTTGCCCACTTGACCACTCCTATTCAACAGGATATGGGAAGTCCTAGCCAAAGCAGTCAGGCAAGAAAAGGAAATGACAGGCATCCAAATCAGAAAAGAAGACATAAAACCGTCTTTGCTTGCAGATGATATGTTCTTATATATAGAAAATCCTGAAGATACCACCAAAAAGCTGTTCAAAGGATGAAGGATCCAAAATTATCATAAAGATGCAGGGGTGCCTGGGTGGCTCAGTCAGTTAAGCTTCTGACTTCGGCTAAGGCCATGATCTTGTGGTTTGCAGTTCAAGCCCTCTATTGGGCTCTGTGCTGACAGCTCAGAGCCTGGAGCCTGCTTTGGATTCTCTCTCTCTCCCTCTCTCTCTCTCTCTCTCTCTCTCTCTCTGCCCCTCCCCTGTCCACACTCTGTCTCTTTAGCCTCTACTACAAAGCTGTGATCATCAAGACAGTATGGTATTGGCACAAAATAGACACATAGGCCAATGGAATAGAATAGAGACCCCAGAAGTAGACCCACAAATGTATGGCCAACTAAGCACTGACGAAGCAGGAAAGAGTATCCAATGGAAAAAAAAAAAGGCAGTCTCTTTCTTCTGGGAGAACTGGACAGCAACATGCAAAAGAATGGAACTAGACCACTTTCTTACACCATACACACAAATAAAGGAGGAAAAAACCTCTTTGACCTCCGCCGCAGCAATTTCTTACTTGACACATCTCCAAAGGCAAGGGAATTAAAAGCTAAACTGAACTATTGGGACCTCATCAAGATAAAAAGCTTCTGCACTGGAAAGGAATCAATCAACAAAACCAAAAGGAAACCGACAGAATGGGAGAAGATATTGGCAAATGACATATCGGATAAAGGAAGGGCTAATGTCCAGAATCTGTAAAGAACTCACCAAACTCCACACCCACAAAACAAATAATCCAGGGAAGAAATGGGCAGAAGACATGAGTAGACACTTTTCCAAAGACGACATCCAGATGGACAACAGACACATGGAAAGATGCTCAATGTCACTCCTCATCAGGGAAATACAAATCAAAACCACACTGCGATACCACCTCACACTGGTCAGAGCAGCTAAAATGAACAAATCAGGAGACTATAGATGCTGGCGAAGATGTGGAGAAACAGGAACCCTCTGGCACTGTTGGTGGCAATGCAAACTGGTGCAGCCACTCTGGAAAACAATGTGGAGGTCCCTCAAATAATTAAAAATAGAACTACCCTATGACCCAGCAATAGCACTGCTGGGAATTTACCCAAGGGATAAGGAGTGCTGATGCATAGGGGCACATGTACCCCAATTTTACAGCAGCACTTTCAACAATCGCCAAATTATGGAAAGAGCCTAAATGTCCATCACCCGACGAATGGAGAAAGAAGATGTGGTTTATATATACAGTGGAATACTACTTGGCAATGAGAAAGAGTGAAATCTGACCGTTTGCAACAACGTGGATGGAACTGGAGGGTAGTATACGAAGTGAAATAAGTCAGGCAGAGAAAGACAGATGCCATATGTTTTCACTTATATGTGGATCCTGAGAAACTTAACAGGAGACCATGGGGGGAGGCGGGGGGAAAAAGTTACAGAGAGGGAGGGAGGCAAACAATATGAGACTCGTAAACACTGAGAATCAACTAAGGGTTGATAGGAGATGGGGGAGAGGGGAAAGTGGGTAATGGGCATTGAGAAGGGCACCCGTTGGGATGAGCAGTGGGTATTGTATGGAAACCAATTTGACAATAGATTATACTTAGTAAAACAAAATTACAAAATCAACATCAAGAAATCAGTTGCATTTCTACACAACCATGAAATAGCTGAAAAAGAAATATAAGGAAAAAATCCCCTTCCCCAAAACATCAAAAAGAACAAAATACTTTGGAATAAATTTAATCAAGGACTTTCTGAAAGATAGGTACAGTAAAGACTACAAGACATTGTAAAAGAAACAGCAGAGACACAAACAAATGGGAAGATACCCCGTTGTTTATGGATTACAAAAATTAGTACCATTAAATATCCACATTACCTGAAACCACCTACAGAGTCAATGCAATCCTTGTCAAAATTCCAATGACCTTTTTCACAGAAATAGGAAAAGCATTCCTCAAATGTGTAAGGAACCAAGAAGATCCCAAATAGCCAAAGCAATCCTAAGAAAGAAGAACAAAGCTGAAAGCATCACACTTGCTGGTGTCAAACTATTACAAAGTTATGGTAATAAAAACCGTATGAAGTTGCACAAAAACAAACACAAAGATGAAGGAAACAGAATCAAGAACCCAGAAATAAACCCATGCATAAAGCCAACTAAAAACCCATGCCTAAAGTCTCTTTAAGAGACCCGAGAATACTCAAAAGAGAAAAAGTAATCTCTTCAATACATGATGCTGAGAAAAGTGGATATTAACATGCAACAGAATAAAACTGTGCCTCTACCTTACACCACTCACAAAAGTTAACCCAAACTCAAATAACGACTTCCATATAAAATCTTAAATCATAAAACTCCTAGAAGAAAACACAGGATAAAAGCTGATTGGCATAGATCTTACGAATGATTTAGGATAGGACATACAAAGTACAAGCAACAAAAGCAAAAACAACCAATGCAATCAACAATGTTTCCGCACAGCAAAAGAAACAAGCAACACGCCGGAAAGGCAACCTATGGAAAGGATGAAAACATTCGCAAGCTACAAATATGAAAAATGTCAATATCTAAAGTGTGTAAGGAATTCGTACAACTCAGCAGCTAAAAACAAATATAATTAAAAACTGGGCAAGGCACCTTAATAGACGTCTCTCCTCAGAACATATTCAGGTGGCCAAGGGTACACAAGAAGGTGCTCGATATCACTATTCATCAGGGCAATGCAAATCAAAACTGCAGTATATAGATATCACTTTGACCTATTAAAATGGCTATTGTCAAAAAGACAAGAGATATCGTTGGCAAGGATGTACAGGAAAGGAATTCCTTGTACTGCTGTAGGACTGTAAATTGAGACACCCACTATGTAAAACAGTATGGTGGCTCCAGAACACACCAAAAATAGAACCTCCATAGGAG